TCAGTCTCCCTCCAGCCACAGTGGAAGCCGAGAGCAAGGCAGTCTCCTCTCATCTGCCAAGATCCCAGGTGGTGTTCACTCTACAGAAAGCATAGCAGTTTGGGTGAGAAGTGGGGACTGGGTCTTCCCAAGGAACTGATGCACCTGTGACAGGAGCAACAGTGGAATGCAGCAGTGCTGGGGACACACAGCTCCCCAAATACCCACCTACAAGATCTGTGACCTCATTGCCTTCCACAGCAAAAAGCTGCCCCCAGAGCAGGAGGGTGATGACAGCTCCTAGGGTCCTGCAGACAGAGGACAGGAAGGAGTACAAAGTTGGCCTCCCTACTTCACAAAACCCTCCCAAAAAGCAACCAGAAAAGAAAAATAGATATATGGACATGCTGGGAGCAAGAAGCCCCCATCACCCAACACTTTAGCAGCTGCCCAGCCCACCCAAGTTCCAGCCAGCTCTGTGCTGTGGGGGATTTTCATAAGCTTCAGAGTAGGACCTCCAAGATGAGAAGGCATGTAGGGGTGGGGGACTCACTTTCTGGCAGCTTTCGGGTAACATGAAATTGACATATATGTCAATATTTGAGCTCCTAGCAAAGACCCCTGAGTACCGCCTAAAGTACTGGACTACAGAGATACTGCTAATAACATGCACACACCTTGAAAATGGGGACATGAGGGGTTACTGTGCTGTTTTCTCTCTCTACTTTTTGAAATTTTTCATAATTTTTTTTCATAAAAATTTTTATAAATTTTTCAAAGTTTAAAACTGTATAATTTAAAACACTTATATGATTGTGTCTATTATTTTATGATGCTCTGCCTTTAGAAAGTGGTGACTCTAACTCCAGCGTGCCAGAAGAGTACCTAGAAGATAACTGGCTTTCTGATAGCAGAGGGTGGGTGGGGCATCTGTGGTGAAGGATATACTCACAGCCACACAGCGCGTTCACAGATGTCCATACAAGAATTGCTAGGTTAGGTTATAGTCCTAATTGATACTTCAAAAGATCTTTTTATTTTGAGAAAATGTAAGTGCCTTAGTTCCTCACATATATCACTATTAGTCTTTCCCATTATACATTTTTTTAAATGGAAAAACAAATCTATCATTCGATACACTTGACATGCCATGGGAGATGCAGGCATCCCTCTGCAGAGGTGAAAACCTCATAACCTCAAGGGAAGTTGCTCTTGAGAATAAGTAACTTGTCCTGGGAGAGACCACAGCACTGAGAGCTTCCGTAGATGCAGAAAAGGGCAGGATTTAACCACTAAGCCCTCTAATTCACTGTAATTGAGTCAGTTTACTGTGTTCTTTCCTATATTTCTGCATCTCCCCCTATGGTTCACTCGTACCCGGCCCATCATACAGATAAAAGTTACAGCTTTTATACATGGATGAAAGAACAGGAGAGAAGGTGCAGGGCGGGGAAGCCGTGCACTCACCTCATCTTTGGTCTGCGTGCCCCTGGGAGAGCAGTGCGGTGAGGGGCACCAGCTGCTCCTTTTATGCCTCCACCGTCTCACCCACCCCTTGTTGATTTCCTAATTCCTGTGTCTACATAACTTTGGCCCTGTTAAGACAATCAGTATTTTCCATTAACAAAACCACAAACAACGCCCCGGTTAAGAGTGGTGATCTTGCTTCACACTTGAACTTCCCCCAGTGTCCTTTTACAAACCCTGAAGAGACCCAGCAACATCATATCCCCAC